CTGTGCTGCTTTCTTCCAGGGCTTCTGTCACTGAGGAGTCTTGATTTAGACTGGTACGGAGTGAGAGCACCCCCTTGTGGTCTCCCAACTCCATCTTAGTGAGGTTTCACTGCATTAATTTTCTCACCAGTTAAGTTTGGGGGTTTTTTTGTTTTTGTTCTTTATTAATCTTTTTAAAATTTAAATTCAGTTAATTAACATATAATGTATTATTGATTTCAGAGGTAGAGGTCAGCGATTCATCAGTCTCATGTAACACCCAGTGCTCATTCCATCACTCTTCCTTCCCTTCCCTATGATCCTGTTTTGTTTCTTAAATTCCTCATATCAGGAAGATCATATGAAAATTGTCTTTCTCTGATTGACTTACTTTGCTCAGCATAATACCCTCTAGTTCCATCCATGTCGTTGTAAATGGCAAGGTTTCAATTTTTTGTTGTTGTTGTTGATACCAGAGTAGCATTCCATTGTATCTATACACTACATCTTTATCCATTCATCTTTTGGTGGACATCTGGGCTCTTTCCATAGTTTGGCTATTGTGGACATTGCTGCTATAAACACTGGGATGCACGTGCCCCTTCAGATCACTACATTTGTATCTTTAGGGTAAATACCCAGTAGTGCGATTGCTGGGTCGTAGCGTAGCTCTATTTTCAACTTTTTGAGGAACCTCCATGCTGTTTTCCAGAGTGGCTGCGCCAGCTTGCATTCCCACCAACAGTGGAGGAGGGTTCCCCTTTCTCCGCATCCTCGCCAACATCTGTCATTTCCTGCCTTGATAGTGTTAGCCATTCTGACTGGTGTGAGGTGGGATCTCATTGTGGTTTTGATTTGTATTTCCCTGATGCCAAGTGATGTGGAGCACTTTTGCATGTGTCCGTTGGCCATTTGGTTGTCTTCTCTGAAGAAATGTCTGTTCACGTATTTCACATGGTCTGCCCGTTTCTTTTCTTTCCTTCCTTCCTTTTTTTTTTTTTTAAGATTTTATCTATTTATTTGACAGAGAGAGAGAGAGAGAGACAGTGAAGGAGTGAACACAAGCAGGGAGAGTGTGAGAGGGAGAAGCAGGCCTCCTCCTGAGCAGGGAGCCCAATGTGGGGCTCGGTCCCAGGATCCTGGGATCATGACCTAAGCAGAAGGCAGAGGCTTAACAACTAAACCACCCAGGTGCCCTTCTGCCCATTTCTTGGTTGAATTATTTGTTCCTGGGTGCTGCGTTTGATAAGTACTTTATAGATTTTGGATATTAGCCCTTTATCTGTTATGTCATTTGCAAATTTCTTCTCCCATTCTGTCAGCTGTCTTTTGGTTTTGTTGACTATTTCCTTTGCTGTGCAAAAGCTTTTACCTTGATGAAGTCCCAATAGTTCACTTTTGCCTTTGTTTCCTTGCCTTTGGAGACCTGTCTAGCCAGAAGCTGCTGCAGCCAAGGTCACAGAGGTTGCTGCTCTTGTCCACCTCTAGGATTTTGATGGATTCCTGCTTCACATTTAGGTCTTTCATCCATTTTCAGTCTATTTTTGTATATAAAAATGTAAGAGAGTGGCCCAATTTCATTCTGCATGTGGCTGTCTAATTTTCGAACACCACTTATTGAAGAGATGGTTTTTTCCACTGGATATTCTTTCCTGTTTTGTCAAAGATTAGTTGACCATAGAGTTGTGGGTCCATTTCTGGGCTTTCTATTCTGTTCACTGATCTATGTGTCTGTTTTTGTGCCAGTACCATGCTGTCTTGATGATGACAGCTTTGTGATAGAGCTTAAACTCAGGCATTGTGGTACCCCCAGCTTTGGTTTTCTTTTTCAACATTCCTTTGGCTATTTGGGGTCTTTTCTGGTTCCATAAAATTTTAGGATTATTTACTCCAGCTCTGAAAAAAGTTGATAGAGTTTGCATTGAGTATATAGATTGCTCTAGGTAGCATGGACATTTTAACAATATTTGTCCTTCCAATCCATGAGCACAGAATGTTTTTCCATTTCTTCGTGTCTTCCTCAATTTCTTCCATGCATGTTCTATAGTCTTCTGAGTACAGATACTTTGTCTCCTTGGTTAGGTTTATTTCTAGGTATTTTATGGTTTGGAGTACAATTGTATTTATTTATTTGACAGAGAGAGATCACAAGTAGACAGAGAGGCAGGCAGAGAGAGAGAGGGAAGCAGGCTCCCCGCTGAGCAGAGAGCCCGATGCGGGACTCGATCCCAGGACCCCGAGATCATGACCTGAGCCGAAGGCAGCGGCTTAACCCACTGAGCCACCCAATTGTAAATGGGATCAAGTCCTTAATTTCTCTTTCTTCTGTCTCATTGTTAGTGTATAGAAATGCAACTGATTTCTGTGCATTGATTTTGTATCCTCTCACTTTGCTGAATTCCTGTATGAATTCTAGCCATTTTGGGGTGGAGTTTTTTGGGTTTTCCACATAAAGTATCATGTCATCTGCAAAGAGTGACAGTTTGACTTCCTTTCTTGATTTGGATGCCTTTTATTTCTTTTTGTTGTCTGATTGCTGAGGCTAGGACTTCTATGTTGAACAGCAGTGGTGATAGTGGACATCCTTGTTGTGTTCCTGACCTTAAGAGAAAAACTCTCAGTTTTTCCTCATTGAGAATGATATTTGCTGTGGGTTTTTCATAGATGGCTTTTATGATATTGAGATATGTTCCTTTATCCCTACACTGTGAGGAGTTTTAATCAAGAAAGGAGGCTGCACTTTGTCAAGTGCTTTTTCTGCAGCTGTTAAGAGGATCATATGGTTCTTGTTCTTTCTTTTATATACGTGGTGTATCACTTTGATTGATTTGTGGATGTTGAATCACCCTTGCATCCTAGAAATAAATCCCATTTGGTCCTGGTGAATAATATTTTCAATGTACTGTTGGATCCTATTGGCTAGCATTTTGGTGAGAATTTTGGCATCTGTGTTCATCAGGGATATTGGTCTGTAATTCTTTTTGGTGGATTCTTTGTCTGGTCTTGGGATCGAGGTAATGCTGGCCTAATAGAGTTTGGAAGTTTCCTTCCATTTTGATTTTTAAAAAACAGCTTCAGAAGAATGGGTATTAATTCTTCTTTAAACGTTTAGTAGAATTCTCCTGGGAAGCCATCCAGCCCTGGGCTCTTACTTGTTGGGAGATTTTCGATGATTGCTTCAATTTCCTCCCTGGTTTGGGGTTTGCTCATGTTTTCAATTTCTTCTTGTTTCAGTTTTCATAATTTATACGTCTCTAGGAATGCATCTATTTCTTCCAGATTGCCTAATTTGCTGGTGTATAGTTGCTCATAATATATTCTTATAATTGTTTGTATTTCTTTGGTGTTGGTTGTGATCTCTCCTCTTTCGTTCATGATTTTATTTATTTGGGTCCTTTCTTTTTTTGCTAAGTCTGGCCAGGTGTTTAACAGGTTTATTAATTTTTTCAAAGAACCAGCTGCTCCTTGTTCCATTGATCTGTTCTACTGTTCTGTTGGTTTCTATTTCATTGATTTCTGCTCTAATATTTATCATTTCTCTTCTCCTGCTCGATGTGGGCTTTATTTGCTGTTCTTTCTCCATCTCTTTTAGATGTAAGGTTAGGTTGTGTGCTTGAGACCTTTCTTGTTTCTTGAGAAAGGCTTGTGCTGCTATATACTTCCCTCTTAGGACCATGTTTCCTGCATTCCAAAGATTTTAAACAGTTGTGTTTTCATTTTCATTTGTTTCCATGAATATTTTTTCTTCTTTAATTTCCTGATTGACCCATTCATTCTTTAGTAGGATGCTCTTTACCCTCCATGTATTTGGGTTCTTTCTAAATTTCTTTTGTGATTGAGTTCCAATTTCAAAGCATTGTGGTCTGAAAATATGCAGGGAATGATACCAGCCTTTTAGTACTAGTGGAGACCTGATTTGTGACCCAGGATGTAATCTATTCTGGAGAATATTCTATGTAGTACTGAAGAATGTGTATTCTGTTGCTTTGGGATGGAATGTTCTGAGTATATCTATAAAGTCCATCTGGTCCAGTGCATCATTCAAAGCCCTTGTTTCCTTGTTGATCTTCTGCTTAGGTGATCTGTCAATTGCAGTGAGTGGGATGTTAAAATCCCCTACTATTATTGAATTATTATCAATGTGTTTCTTTAAATTTTGTTATTTATTATCTTACGTAATTGTCTGCTCCCATGTTAGGGGTACAAATATTCACAGTTGTTAGGTCTTCTTGTTGAATAGACCTTAAATTATGATATAGTGTTCTTCCTCATCTCTTATTACAGTTTCTGGTTTAAAATCTAATTTGTCTGATATAAGGATTGCCACCCCAGCTTTTTTTTGATGTCCATTAGCATGGTAAATAGTTTTCACCCCCTCCCTTTCAATATGGAGGGGTCTTTGGGTCTAAAATGAGTCTCTTGCAGACAGCATGCTGATGGGTCTTGTTTTTTTGTTGTTGTTTTTTTCCAGTGTGATACCCTGTGTCTTTTGATTGAAGCATTGAGCCCATTTACATTCCTAGTAACTATTGAACAATATTAATTTATTGCCATTGTATTACCTGTAAAGTCACTGTTTCTGTATATTGTCTCTGTTCCTTTATGGTCTATGTTGCTTTGGGGCTCTCTTTTTGCTTAAATTATCCCTTTTAATATTTCTTTTTGGGCTGGTTTGGTTATCACAAATTCTTGTATGTTCTGTTTGTCCTGGAAACTTTTCATCTTGCCTTCCATTTTGAATGACATTCTAGCTGGATAAGTATTCTTGACTGTATATTTTTCTCATTTAGCACCCTAAATATATGGTGCTTATCCTTTCTGGCCTGCCAGGTCTCTGTGGATAGGTCTTCTGCCAATCTAATGTTTCTACCACTGTAGGATACAGACCTCTTATCCCTGAGCTGCTTTCAGGATTTTCTCTTTGTCTCTGACATTTGAGAGTTTCACTATTATATGTCATATTGACATATAATTCACAAAACATTGACCTATTTTTATTGTTTTTTGAAGGAGGTCCTCTGAAAAATATGGACCACTTTATGAATTTGCATTTCATTCTTGCACAGGGGCTATGCTGATCTTCTCTGTATCATTCCAATTTTAGTATACGTGCTGCCAAAGTGAGCACTCGCCTGTTAAGTTTTGGAAGTTGGCTAGTGTTAAGTCCTGAAATCCTCTGACTCTGTTTTTCTTTTTTTCATTTTTCATTTTAAAGATTATTTATTTATTTATGAGAGAGAGAGAGAGAGAGAGAGAGAGCATGAAATGGAGAAGGGGGAGGGGGAGAAACAAGCTGAGCAGGGATCCCAATGCGGGGCTTGATCCCAGGATCTAAGATCATGACCTGAGCTGAAGGCAGATGCTGAACCCACTGAGCCACCCAGGCACCCTTGTTTTTCTCTTTCGATATTTTATTGTTCATTCTGGATCTTTTGCCTCTCATATAAACTTTAGTGTCAGTTTCCTGATATCCACAAAGTCAATGAGGTATTTAAAATAATCACTAGACTCATCAGTTCCTTGGTTCCTCTAGGCCTGTGGAGATGCAGCCTGGTCATGACATTCTGGCCTTCCTGGGCAAGGCAGGGCTCTGTCTCAGCCTTGGTTCAGTCAGAGCTTCCCTCTCTCACATGAGCAGAGCCCTGGACAGACATGCTCACATAGGGTGGAGGGGGTCTAAGATGCAGTAGTGTTAATGAAAGGCAACTTAGAAATATCTATCAAAATGACACTGAAAAAATAAAATTAAATTAAAGAAAAAGAAGTAAAAAACTCAATTATTTTTCAAAGTATTTTGGTTTCCTTTTTTTTTTAAAGATGTTATTTATTTATTTGACAGAGAGATCACAAGTAGGCAGAGAGGTGGGGGAAGCAGGCTCTCCACTGAGCAGAGAGCCCGATGCGGGGCTCAATCCCAGGATCCCGAGATCACGACCTGAGCCGAAGGCAGAGGCTTAACCCACTGAGCCACCCAGGTGCCCCTCAAAGTATTTTGTAGATTTCCTAGGATTTTCTCCAGATACAATAAAATTGGGGAAAAAAAAAAAAGACAAGTGCAAGGGGCTCCTGGCGGGCACAGTTGGTGGGGCATACAACTCTTGATCTCAGAATTGTAAGTTGGAACCCCATGTTGGGTGTAGAGATTATGTAAAAATAAAGCCTTACTGCACTGGGTGGCTCAGTTGATTAAGCACCCAACTCTAGATTTGGGCTCAGGTCATGATCTTGGGGTTGTGAGATCAAGCCCCACATGTTGGGCATGGACCTTGGTTGGGATTCTCTCTCTCTCTCCGTTCTCTCTCTTCTCTTCTCTTAAAAATGAAATGAAATGAAATGAAATGAAATGAAACTAAAAAAGACACATATGTGTTAGGTCCGTTATTAAATGAAATGAGACTAAGTGAAAGTTATTTAAAGCTTTATTTTATGATAAGTATTAGAAGTTAGACTGATCGGCCAGGGCCGTCTCCGAAGAGAGCAACCACCCCCAGTTTACAGGTTCAAGAATCAACTGACTGGTCAGGGCCGCCTCCGAAGACAGCGACCCCTCCCAGCCTCACAGACTAACTTTTATAGAGCAAAAGCCTGGCCACACATAGGTGGCCAATGAGATTGTAACATTGTATGGTCACGTTAGGTCACACGCAGGTGGCCAATTGAATTACAATTTACCCTATAGTAGCTGTTTGAACTAACCTATTACTTTGGTCAGAACTGGCACTCAAGTTTGGCACCCAAAAGGCGGATTTTACATTTTTTGGTGGTTAGGGAGACAGTATGTGTACTTTTACTGATTGGATGTCTCCACCTGGCCTGACTTGTCCTTGTATTCTGGGCTCTGTTATTAGGAACTGGCCGACCATATTTTACTGGTTTCCCAGACTTGCTTCTAGGTAAGTTTCTCTGTGGGGGGTCGGGGGGGGGGGGGGGACAGGGTCAGTTTAAGTTTTACTGCACAAACAACAAAATGGCTTTTAACCAAGATGGAGTCGCTCTGGCTAAATAGGCCCTTACAATATGTGTTTTTCTTCAGCAATTCTGTGTCAGGGGATTTATCTCACCTATAGATTTACATGCCAGCACAATTGTTGATGGTCAAGGGTAGGCACTCAGTGAAAAAGGACTGGGCACAATTCAGCCCCCTGCAGTCAGGAACTGATTAAATAGGTGAGGTCACCGCCATAGAAGATCATCCAAACAGCTGTTCAAAAACTGAGGAAACTCTCCTTGTAGTGATATGGAAAGCTCTCCAAGGTATACAAGTAAGTAAAAAGAAACCAGGACATGGAACAGTGTGTAAAGTGTGCCACCTTTTGTCTAAAAATGGGAGGACATGCGAATACAAATATTCACACAGGCCTAAACTTACGTCTTACAGTTATACAAATATATAATTATATCCAATAGTGAACTTACGATTATAACAATGCATAATTACAGAATTATATATTTCATTACACATCATATTACATATGTATATATTTAATATGTATTTATAAAAATATTAATTTTATATCTTAAACGATTCATTGATACTGGAGATATGTACACAGGTGTGAGAACATACGTGTATAAAATATATCGTGTGTGTACACTCTGCACACGTGTGTGTATACTACGCAGATACACGCATGAAGAACCCGTGGAAGGACACAAACTAATCGCTGTGGTTACCGTGTAGTTCATGGGCATAAAAAATTGGTGGTGGTGCCCACATTGCAGGAGGAAGACTTTTCATCACACACTATTTACTTAACAACATGTAGACCGTGTATTAACTCTTCCAACAGCCAAACAGAGCATCTCAGGGAGGAAGGCCACGCCGGCGCCAGGGCCTTCTTCCCTCTCTGCTCCTCCCAGTCCAGCCGCGGCCTCGAGCGCCCCCAGCGGAACGAGCGACGAGCCGCTGGGATTTCGACCCGCCCGCTCGCGCAGCCCGGCAGAGCGCACGCGCAGACGCGCGGCAGGACGCATGCGTCGCGTCTTGGGCGCGAAGTCCGAGCGCGAGCCGTTTAGTCAGGCGAGGCGCCCGGCGGGCGAGGTGAGCGTAGGCGCGCGCGCGCGGGTGTGGGGGCGAGCGCGTGAGGGGCGCGTGAGGGGCGCGCGGGAATTCTGGGGCCGAACGTGGTCGGAGGAGACGCGAGGGCGAGGGGCAGGCACGCCTGAGGGCGCGAGAAGCCCAGGGCGGCGGCGCGGGCGTCCTTGAGGGGCGACGCCGCGGCGGTCGAGGCTGGGGGTGGGGGTTGGGAGGCGCCTCCGCGCGAAGAGACGACGGGATGTAGTGACCCTTGTAGGGAAGGGGCCCGCGTCGGACGTGGGGTCTGTGGAAACCTGGGAGCTGAGGAACACCAGCGCGGGAGTGGCCTCCCCCGCTCTCTGCGCGCCCGTCTGCGCCTCAATTCCTCGGCCTCCTCGGTTGGCTGTCCTCCCAGCTTTCAGGCCAATGTCCTCCCTGGGCCGCCGGCCTCGGTCCCGCCCTCATGCCAGGCCCCGCCCCAGACCCCGTCTCCAGCCTAAGCCCCACCCCTGCTGACCCTAGGCTCCGCCCCCGGGCCCCGAGTCTCTTTATATGCAGTCTTTAGCAATCAGCGGCAGAAACACCCTACTGGAAGGAAGGCAAGGATAGGTGTAATTTGTAAAGGGCCAGTGCGTCTGAAGAAATACAGTAAGCTTTATTGTTAATTTAAGGAAATGCAAAGTTAAAGAATAAAAATATCTTTTTCATCGGTTTAATTGGCAACAGATTTTGAGGAACGATAATATTCTTGCTGGGCAGACTGGTTACATAATTTGCAGGGTCTAATGCAAAATGAAATATGAGGCCCTTCTTTAAAGTATGAAAAATCTCAAGATAGCAACAGCAGAGCTTTAGACTGAGCTTGAGGCCCTTCTGAGCATGGAGCCTGGTATGACTGCCCCGGCTGCGTGCCCGTGAAGCTGGCCCTACTGACTTGCAAGGCGGCTGTGTGATCTATATTGAGGCTGGAAGAGGAAATTAGCGGAAGCCTTGTATGAATGTACTATTCTACCGTGGTTTTTTCTCCTCTCAAACGCTTACTATTGTCTGATTCTTTCCAATTAGAATGTTCTGGAGGATGTGTAGTGATAGCTCATTATTGTTTTAATTCCTATTTCTCTGATAACTAATTCAGTTGAGCCCCATTTCATGTCTATTGGCCATTTAGCTCTGTTTTGTGCAATACCTGTTCAAATCTTTTAACTTTATTGCGTGTTTTTAAAGATTTTTATTTATTTATTAGGCAGAGAGAGAGACAGCAAGAGAGGAAACACAAGCAGAGGGAGTGGGAGAGGGAGAAGCAGGCCTCCCACGGAGCAGGGAGCCGGATGTGGGGCTTGATCCCAGGACCCCGGGACCACGACCCCAGCCAAAGGCAGACCCCTAATAACTGAGCCACCCAGGCGCCCCAACTTTTTTGCTCTTATTTTATCTCCCTTTTTCTTACTGATTTGTATGAGTTCTTTAAATATTTTGCATATGAATTCAGTCCTTTGTAGGATGTATGTGTTATAAAAGACTCTTTATTCTGTGTAATATAAAATCATTTTAACTCATTTGTTTTTTGAGGTGAAATTCTTCTGTGGTTCATCAAATTAATTCAGTTCCTTGTGTTTAGAGTTCAAGTCTCTTTTCCCTACAATGCCATTTCTGAAATACTTCAAGCCTGTGCCTGTGCATTTTCCAGATCTGGGATGGGGCTGAAGTAGCATCTTATCTGGAGATGTGCAAATTTCTTTGAGTGTGTATTTAGGCAGTTGTGTGAAATGAAGTAATTACTTTTGCTCCAAATCACCTCCACCCCATTGTCCAGGTCTAACTGTACAGGCTATATGTAAGTCTCTCTACATAATTTCTACAGGTCCTGGGTTTCTGTATCTTTTTTTCATATGATACAGCTCTGCCCATCATCTTCCGCAAAGTGTGTTCTGGAGCAACCTGCCTTTTCGAGTATCTTTGTCCTGAAGCTGTAAAGATGCTGCACATGACAGACGTTTTGGATATCTTGAAGAATCCCCAGCTCTTCCATCTACATGATCAAGAAGAGAATCCAGAAACCATCCCCATAAGAAATCCAGGGTTTCTGAAAGTTTCTCATCAGAAGTTTAGGGATTTTCAATATCTTTCAGTGACGGGGCCTCACCAAGCTGTGAGCCAAATCCAGGAGCTCTGCCGGCAATGGCTGAAGCCGGAGACCCACACCAAGGAGCAGATGATGGAGCAGCTGGTGCTGGAGCAGTTTCTGAACACGCTACCGGAGGAAGTCCGGAGCTGGGTGAGGTCCAAAAAGCCCAAGAACAGCAAGGAGGCAGGAAGCCTGGTGGCCAGTTTGATCCAAGCATGTGGGGAGAAAGGTGAGAAAGAAAGGAAGCAACTAGCAATTTCCATTTATTTATTGAACATCTTCTGTATGCCTGGCATGCAATAGGAGATGAATAAAAATTTGTCAAGTGGATAAATGAGAGAATGAATTAAAAAAATTTTTTTAAGATTTTATTTAATTTATTTGACAGGCAGAGATCACAAGTAGGCAGAGAGGCAGGCAGAGAGAGCGGGGGATGCAGGCTCCCTGCTGAGCAGAAAGCCCAACTCGGGGCTCGATCCCAGGATCCTGGAATCATGACATGAGCAGAAGGCAGAGGCTTTAACCCACTGAGCCACCCAGACGCCCCAAGAATGAATTTTTTTTTTTTTTTAAGATTTAATGTATTTGACAGAGACAGTGAGAACAGGAACATAAGCAGGGGGAGTGGGAGAGGAAAAGCAGGCTTCCTGCAAGGAACCTGACATAGGGCTCAATCCCAGGACCCTGGGATCATGACCTGAGCCAAAGGCAGATGCTTAACAACTGAGCCACCCAGGCACCTCAAGAATGAATTTTATAATCCAGTCTAATCTGTCTCATATGAGATGGAAGAGATTTTGGGTTTGGCTTTTGCTTTTAATATTTACTATTTCTCTGGAAGTATCCTTTCTCTCCAGCTTTGTTCCTCCCTGCTCCGTTTCTTCTCTCGCCTAAACTTTAGTATCAACACAAAACAAAACAACACACACAGCCATAAAAACGAGGGTATAAAGTGTGGGAGATAAGAGGCCTGGAAGTTTAACCTTTACCAAAATTTGGTTTCTTGGAGACTCAAGTTATTAGGTTAGAACTAAGGGTATTTTAATAATGAAAGAAGAAAGTCATTTACTCCTCATAGTCCTTTGAATAAAAGTGATACTAAAAACAAAACATTGTTTAGGGGTATTTTATATAGAGAGGCAGACGGGGGAACAAAAATATGAATATAAAACCACAGTTGCCTCTGGAGAGAAGGCTGAGGAAAAAGGAAAAAAGCCCATAAAAAAGGAAAAAGCCCATAGGTAGATACCAGTTATTGAGAATGTTCTAGATTGGGGGTTGGGTAGCGAATTCATAGGCATTAATTATACTTAAACCCGTAAATGAGTAAATTTAAAGTAAATAGGGTCATGCATGGTTAAGTACTGATATCATGAATCAAGGATTATGATTAATCCAAATATGTGTACCTGCATTTCTTAAAAGGAATTTGAAGATGATAATAGTGAACATGTTGAATACTTTTTAAAAATACTTTATTTATTAATTTGATGGCACAAGCAGGGGGAACAGCAGGCAGAGGGAGAGGGAGAAGCAGGCTCCCCGCTGAGCGAGGAGCCCGATGCAGGACTCAATCCCAGGACTCTGGGATTGTGACCTGAGCTGAAGGCAGATGCTTAACTGCATGTTGAATACTTTCAGTGTGCTATATTCTAGGTGTTTTATACTTACCAACTTATTTAGTTCTATTAATAGCTTTTGAAATAGGTGCTACCCTTATTCTATAGAGGAGACAGAGGCACACAGAGGTTGAGTAACAATTCATCAGGATTCAGAACTAGGCAGGGACTCCAGCATCTGTATGTTAATCACGGTGTTAAACTGTCTCAGGTGGGCATGGAGGGTGTTGTGTTGTCCCATAGGTTAAAATCTTGGCCAAAGGCCCAGAGCTATTGATGGAGCTGGAATTCGGGGGAAAGGAAAGAGAGCTCCCTAGAATATGAAAATGAAACAACAGATGAATAAAGGGTGTACTTGGGAAAAGACTACAGGTGGGGGCCCTTCAAGGTTCGGGTTTCTGTAGGGAATGTGGTGGCCGTCTTCTAGACCAGTGAATGAAAAAGATGTAGGAAAAGTTCTAAGAGTTGACACTTTTAAAAATGCTTATACGCTTTGTATATGTAATGTCTAATCCTTACAAGATCCCTTAGAAGTTTGGTATTCTTTCCATTTTATAGTTGAGAAACTTAGGCTCCCTGGTGGTTATGAGTGGACAGTGAGGCTGGAAACCACTGAAAGAGAAGGAATTTCCCCCTTTTTTGGAAGGCAGTGGGGAGTCATTGAAAGGTTTAAAGTTGGGAAATGCCTAGAGCTCTTCTTTGGAACTTGCTGTACTGACGGGAGAAAAGATGTCTGTGGTTTTTCTCTTACAGGAAGTCCCGGACTGCTGCTGTCTTCCATGGCAGGAAGGGTGGTACGAGGTAGCAAGCCACTCTCTGTGTCTGTGGGCGCTGGCAGACTGGAATCAGTTCCATGGTCATTCCTTCTCTCTTCTAGGTTTCTCTCCTCAGGACTTTGTCCTTGCAGAAGAGAGGAACACCAAAGAACACCAAAAGGACACAGAGATGTCTGACAGTCTCTCATCTGCTGGATCCCAGGTGAGTGAAACTTTCTTCTGATGTGGTTCTCCAATATGGGGATCTCACCTTCCTGATTTCTAGACCTTCCCTATACAATTAAATCACATTCTCATTTCCTTTAAATCTTTATATAAATATCACCTAACTGAGCCTTTAAATATCCTTTAAATAGGATAACTGAGCCTGGTTATCCTATTTAAATTTTTTTTCTGACTCAGGGTGCCTGGGTGGCTTAGTCGGTTGAGTTACCTACCGACTCTTAGTTTCGACTCAGGTCATGATCTCAGGGTCATGGGATTGAGCCCCATCTCAGGCTCCATGTTCAGTGCAAAGTCTGCTTGTCCCTCTCCCTCTGCTTCTCCCCTGGTTATGAATCCACTCTCTCTCTCAAATAAATAAATAAAATCTTAAAAAGATTTTTTTCTGACTCCTTATATCCCCTTTCCCTGCTTTATTTTTCTCTGTTGGACTTATCACCATCCCACATCTACCCATTTAATATTTTCCTGCTTTTTCTATCTCTTGAATTATTATTATTTTTTTTTAGTATTCCATTTTATGCCCAGTGTTGACTCATTCAGAACAACTCTTATGTGGTTTGCACTGTTATGCTCCTTTTTACATGTGAAATAAATGGCAGCTCTTACAGGGACATGATACTACTCTGCGGTTTTATTTTTTTCACAAATGTTCTCCTGAATGTTCTTGTTAAGTCATTTCTTTAAAGATTTATTTATTTACTTTGGTGGGGGAAGGGCAGAGAGAGAGGGAGAGAGAATCTTGAGCAGACTCCATGCTGAGCATGGAGCCCGATTTCTGATTTTAAAACTCCAGTTAATAATACTAAATCTATGAATTTTTTGGTGTTGGCAGTTAATGTGAATTTTAAATAATAAAAAACCCATAATAAGAGCCACATGAGCCCCTCTGTAGGAGCTTGGCAGCCAGTGTACGACTTCTAGTTCAAATCAGTTGTTCATAGATCTGCATAATGTTTTCCTGAAAACAAAAAAGATGTATGTTAATAAAACGTGTATCATATTCTTTTGTAGTCTTCTAATATCTACTTTTTAAATTCAACCTTAGGGATACCTGGGTGGCCTAGTCGGTTGAATGTCTGGCTCTTGGTTTCGGCTTGGGTCATGATCTGGGGTTTGTGGGACTGAGTCCTGTGTTGGGCTCTGCACTCAGTGTAGAGTCTGCTTAGGTTTCTCTCTGCCCCTCCCCCACAAGGCGCATGTGCACGTACATGCCTGTGCACACTCTGTCTCTCAGATAAATAAATAAGAATTTAATTAATTAATTAGTTGATTGATTCAACCTTAGGTTATCAAGATTGTTGTAACTGTGGTTAATTGGTTTATATTGCTGGAATATTCCATTTTGTCATTATACTGTAATGTGTTTATCTCTTCTACTCTAAACAGACATTTGGATTGTTTATAGGTTTTGGGTGTTAGAAACAGCACTGTTAAGAATATAAATGTCAGGGGCGCCTGGGTGGCATAGTTGGTTAATCGTAACTCTTGATTTCAGCTCAGGTCATGATCTTGGGAGTCATGAGATCAAGGCCTGTGTCAGCCTCCACATGATTCTCTTTCTCACCCTGTCTCTCTGCCCCTCCCCCCTGCCTCACGCATTTGTGTGTGCTTTTTTTCTGACTCTCGATGGCCAAGATATATATATACATATATCCCCAAGTACAGGTGACAAATATAATTTCTGGGTCCAAAGTGGTTTATCAATTTTACATTTCCCCTAGCATCTAATAAGAGGTCTCATGGGTCCACATTGTAGACAATGTTTGGTATTGCCAGACTTACTACTTTTTGTCAGTTGAATGAGTATAAATGGTACTTTGTCATTTTGATTTGCATTTCTCTGTTTATTTATAAGATTGAAAATCTCTTTATGAACTTTCTGGGTTTTATAGATGAGTCACTGAGGCTTAACCTACCCACATTCACAAAGATTGTAAGAACCAGAGCTAGGACTTAAAACCTAACTCTTGATTCCTGAGGCTGAGGTATACTGCTCAGATTTTAATTATGTACATTCATTATTTCTTTATAAAGTGGCTTAAAAGGATCTTTTTTTAAAAAAGATTTTATTTATTTATTTGACACAAAGAGAGAGATCACAAGTAGGCAAAGAGGCAGGCAGAGAGAGAGAGAGAGGGGTGCAGACTCCCTGCTGAGCGGAGAGCCCGATGCAGGGCTCGATCCCAAGACCCTGAGATTATGAACTGAGCTGAAGGCAGAGGCTTAACCCACTGAGCCACCCAGGTGCCCCTAAAAGGATCTTTTTTTAAAAAATTTTATTTATCTGTCAGAGAGAGAGGGAGAGAGAGTGAGTGCACAAGCAAGCGGAGCAGCAGGGAGAGGGAGAAGCAGACTCCCTGCTGAGCAAGGGCCCAGTGCATGTCTCAATCCCAGGACCCTGGAATCACAACCTGAGCCAAAGGCAGACACTTAACCAAATGAGCCACCCAGGGATCTCTTAAAAGGATCTTTGCCTCCAATCCAAATTTGTAGTAATTAGCAGCAAGAACTATCTCGGAAATATTCCCCCTTCTTTAATACTACAAGACAAAGAAAGGTACATTACTAGGTCCCTGTATCCTCTGGATTAGACCACATGTATTAGAAGCTTTCTGCCAGGGGAACCTGGGTGGCTTAGTCGGTTAAGCGTCTGCCTTCTGCTCAGGTCATGATCCCAGGGTTCTAGGATCAAGCCCCACATCTGGCTCCCTGCTCAGCAGGGAGCCTGCTTCTCCTTCTTCCCAGTTTGTGCTCTCTCATTCTCTCTCTCTCTCAAATAAATAAAATCTTTGGGGGGGGGAAGAAGTTTTCTGTCAGTATGAATGCTTTATGTTCAGTCCTCTCTCATCAGGCTCCTTCCCCCTCCTTGAGATAATTTCTGTATTTTGATCATTTGGAGGTGTTTCTGGTATTTTAGGAGTTGGTGACTTTCCAGGATGTGGTTGTGGACTTCAGTCCAGAGGAATTAACCTACCTTAGTGCTGCTCAGAGGAACCTCTACCGGGAGGTGATGCTGGAGAATTACAGGAACCTGGTCTCCTTAGGTAAGGCTGCCTTCTCCCTGGAACTTGGCTTCTGCCTTCTAGGGTAGTGGTTCTCTACTCTTCTGTGTCCTCACCTCAGGAACATCAGTAATAGCGGTTCACCATGTCGGTGAATCTCAACTCAGTTCAAAGACAGTATTTTAGTATCAAGCTCACTGTTACTCATAATAGGGCTAACATTGAGTACTTACGTGTGTCAGACATTCATCTAAGCACTGTACATGTCTTAATTCCTTTAATCCTTAAACTGGTCCTGTGAGGGAGAAGTATATTTCCTGTTACTGTTATTATTGCCATTTTACAGTTGAGGAAACAGAGTCATGGGAAAGTTGAATTATCTAAAGCCACACGGCTACAAAGTGGCAGGTTGAGATTGGACCCTTAGTTTTTCAGCTCCAGAATCTGCTCCCTTAAATTCATTGGTTGTACTGGGGGTGGGCTTCATCAGGTCTTGGAACAGTAGAAGGCTCCCAGTGATGTTTTTTGAATGTGTGAAGGAATTGATGAAAATTTCAGGAGCTCCAAAAGCTTTTACTAGACTTAAAGTTTAAGAGTCAGGGACTTTCGGTCTCTCTTTACATTCAGAGGCAAGTTAATAATATTAACTCCCCACAAGCTAAACGTTTTTAGTATCAGTGCCAAGATCTTCATTTCAGTGGCTTTTTGGGGAGCCCAAGGTCTCCGAAACACACAGTCAAATCAAACACCATTCCAAAGGCAGTAAGCTGGTGCTCTTGTCCTTGTGAAGTCACAGACATGTGTGGGGAGATGGAAATGCCTTATCTCAAACCAGGCACAAGAGTGTATAATTTGAGGGGCGCCTGAGTGGTACAGTCGGTTAAGGGTCCGACTCTTGGTTTTGGCTCAGGTCATGATCTCAGGGTTCTGGGATCAAGTCCCACATTGAGCTCTGTGCTCAGCAGAATTCGCTTGATATTCTCTCTCCTTCTTCCTCTTCCCCTTCCACTCATGCATGTGCCCCCCCCCAAATAAATAAATATTAAAAAGAAGAGTGTGTAATTTGAACTGTGACTTCTGTTGTTCACAAAGAAGGCCAAAGGAGTGGCTTTCCCAATATAACTCTCCTCTCACTTACCACATTTGTGACGTAAAATAGAGGGAATAAGTCGGTTTTACCCTTTTAGTCCTCACACAGTCACCTGAAACCATTTTGTCTTCCTGAGAGGCCTTGGCTTCTTGTATCACTGCAGGTTTTGGGTTAGCAGAGATTTTACATATGTAAAATATGATTTTACATTTCACAGTGTCACCCAGGACATTGTCTTCCCAAGTGTGGAATGAGTACAGTGGATTGTAGAGAAGATTATTTTAAGTAATACCTCTTGTTGGCCTTCCATTTTAGTAAAGAGAGAGCAGACCTCAGCCCCTGAGCCTTAGCCAGGCAACCAAAACTAGGTAGCACTCAGTAACATTAATTTCGGTTGGATCTGTTGCTGTATTATCTTCAGGTTTTTTTTTCTTTTTTTTTTCAAATGACTGTGGTTTCTGTTTTTAAGGTTCATATAAAGCTTCCATTTAAATATGTATACTCAAGTTAAAAAGAGATGATCTTTTTTTTTTTAAAGAGATGATCTAAAGAAGAGTATTAAATGCTAAATGTTACTACAAGTGGCACGTAGATAGGGCCAGAATGTGAAGGTCATCAATAAATTTATCAGTGAAATTGTCAGTATGGCAGGTTCTGGAATAGGCATTGGTGTTACACAATTGATGAAGTTCCCTTTTTTCACGGATGTTACTGATTTTAATGGGGTGAGACAGACAATAAATAAGGAAATAATGAGGTAGTGTCTCAATTCCTTTGGTCTGTTATAACAGTATCCCAGAATGGGTAGTTTCTAAACAACAACCACTTATTTCTCATAGTTCTAGAGTCTGGAAGTCGAAGATCAGGGTTCCAGCACAGTCAGATGAGCCTGTCTTCTAGGTCGTAGGCTTCCTATTCCTTCCTCACTGGGTGGAAAGGTATTCTCTCTGAAGCCTTTTTAAAATAAGGGCATTAATCCCATCCATGAGGGCTCCATCCTCATGACCTAAGCACCTTTCAAAAAGGCCCACCTTCTAATAACACCACAGTGCGCATTAGGACTTCAACATAGGAATTTTGGGGAAATGCAAACATTTAGACCACAGCAGGTGGCCTGCAAATGACTCAAGTTTGGAAAACACAGGACTGGGGGAGGGAGAAGGAGCATTTTAAGACAAAGGGAATGAAGGTATCAGGAGGAAAAGAACTTTTTTTTTTTTAAAGATTTTATTTATTTATTTTAGAGAGAGTGCACAAGCAGAGGGATCAGAGGGAGAGGGAGAAGCAGACTCCCTGCTGAGCAGGGAGCCTGATGTGGGGCTTGATCCCAGGACCCTGGATTATGACCTGAGCTGAAGGCAGATGCTGAACTGCCTTAGCCACCCCAGGAAAAGAACTTTTTGAGCAGCTGTGACATCAGGTCCCCCAAACTGAAGTAGCTCAGCACACCATCCTCAAGCCCCCTTTTCAGTATTTACTCCTGAACAGAGGTTTTCGGCCTTGGCACGGTTGATATTTGCCCAGATCATTCCTTGCTGTGGAAGAAAGTCCCGGGTATTGCAGGGTGTTTGGCAACCTCGCCTCTATGTACTAGATATCAGTAGCCTGCCTTCCTTTGTCTGAACTTGTAAAAACCAAAAATGTCTCCATTTGGGCCAAAATCATTAGAAACAGGCTTCACTTTTCTTTTGTGTGAATCCGCATCTTCCTTATTATCTCTGAGTCTTTGGTGCCTAGGCTGGAAGTTGCCGCGGGTGCAAGGCAGAACCGCCTAGTTACGCGTCTCCTCCTTCAACAGGGTACCGGTTCCCTAAACCCGACATTATCTCACAGCTGGAAGAAGAAGAGTCACGTGTGAGGGAAGAAGACAGCAATACAGAGCTATGTCAAGGTGAGCAAGAAGGGGGAAGCCCATGGAGACTGCAACTGTGGGACGATAACCACCCCCCGATCAGCTGGGATGGTGGCTGGGAGCTGTTGGTCAGAGAGCATCCCTCGGAGTCCTCTCAGGCCAGGGAGAGAGAGGTGGTAGGTGCTGGTAGGCGTTCTCACCTCAGGGCTCACAAGGCTTCACCACCTAGTGTGCACTTAGTTCCTCTTTCATCTGCTCTTTCCCGTTGGAGTGACTCTCTTGCCTAGTGCCAGGGAGGCCTGTTTCCCTTTCCTCTAGTGTTCCAACCTCTGTACTTATCCGTGCCTTTCCCTTTGCAGCTAGAAAGCCTTGGTCTTTCCTCTTTAACCGAGACAAGAAGAAACCTTGGCATGATACCACTTTTCTTTCCACTTGCCTACATTTTCCCTCATGGCAGTTTTCCAGATTTGTTGGCACCCAAAGACTCCCTTTCCCTTCCCTCTTTAACCCCCATAATCTGGATTCATCCCCCTACCTCTGCCAACACACACACACACACACACACACACACACACAGGGTCTCACTGTATCTCTCTCCATATTTCCCTCTCCCTTTCTCACACTCAGTTCTACAGCCCCCCAAAAGTCCCTACCAACATCCTCATGGCTCAAGGATAAGAACATTTTAGACTTAAATTCTCCAAACTCTATGACTACAATATGATAACATTTGCCATCTTTATGAAATCCTCTCCTTCTCTGCTTTGGAGATCAGCCAGGATTATCGTGGCCCTTCAGCTCCTGTTAACATAAAACCACACCCAAACTGTATAAGCCGTAGGGGGATTGTATTAGCTTATAATGCTGCTCACCTGGGCTTCAGGGATGGCTGGATTTAGGGGTTCAGTGATGTTATCAAGGGCTTACTTTTATTTTTTTTCACTCTGCCAATAAAGCCTAGGTGTACTTTCTTGTTCCAATGAGAGAGCGGGCCAGCGCAAGTGATTAGGCGTGTCCAAGAAGTATTCTTAGGAGCAAGGGCGCTTCTTCTTAGAAGCCCTTGACACACCTCTCTTCGTTTTTCAGTTTTCCATTTGGGTCATATCCCATTCCTGAGCCAGTAGCTGTGGCCAGTCTAGTGCTAATCAGTACAGTTTTCCCTGCCTTCTCCTGTGTAGACAAAGAAGTAGATGTCCAAGCAAAATTCAAGGACCTGCCAAGGGGACCCTACTTGCCTCGGCGTTGTCTTTAATACCTTCTTTACATTGACTCTTTGACTCCTTCAGTCATTCCACAGATATTTATTGAGCTTTTGTGGTGGGTCAGACCTGTTCTAGGTTCTGTGGCTACAGTAATGAACAAGTCAGACATACAAAGACAAATAATAGAGTGTGAGTGTAAAGCAGACAGCGACAAATGGGAGACCACTTAAGACAGTCAGACGGAGGAAGAACCACATAGAAATCTTGAGGAAGAGTGTTGCAGGCAGGGGGAATAACAAATACAGAGGCTGCAAGTTTAGAATGAGCTTGGGTGTTCCAGAAAAAGGAAGAAAAGCAATATAGTCTGAGAAAGTGGTGGGGGATGGGAGATAATGTTGAGAAGATGGACATAGGCCAGCTCACGTAAGAGTATGTTAAAGAATGTGGATTCATTACAAGTGAGATGTGAAAAAGGCATTAGAGGGTGTTGAGCCAGGGAATGAGGTAGTATTATTGACTCCTTAGAACTGTGCTGTCTGATGTGGTAGCCACTAGGCATACAGAGTTGAGTTTACATTAATTAAAATTGCATAAATTTAAACTCCATCACACCAGCCACATTTCAAGTGCTTATTACCTGCATGTGGCCAGTGGCTATGTATCAGACAGCAAAAATAGACATCATTTACCTCACTGTGGGGTGTTCCACTGGGCAGCATGTTCTAGAAAGATCCCTCTGGCTGTTCGATGGAAAGTGGGCTTTAGGAAGACCAGCAGAGAAACCAGTTGGGAACCTGCTAGTGCGGGCTGAAGCTGATGGAGGCTGGTGCTGTGATTGTGGAGTACAGCTTGGAGGTAGTCTCGGTGAGGAGAATGAGCAGAACAGCTGTCTCTTAGTCTGCCAGCTTGAGTCTTGTCTCCAAAGACCATTTCCTAAAAGATCTATTCCATTGTGATGGTCCAGTTATCGCTTCCCTGATGAGTTCCTAGTCTCTATTCTGGCTCTGCTGTTTCATCTGTACTTCACTCACCCAGCCGGCTATCTGCCTGGACGTGACTATTGTGTTCATCCTTGTCTCTTGTCAGTTTCTTTCCCAGAGTTGCCTTTGTAAAGCACAAACTTTTGACTAGAACCACTCTCCAAAGAAAATTCAAACTTCTAGCAAAACATTTAAATCCCTCTCCATCTGCATAATATCTGTCCTGTTATTTTTGGTCCCTTTCTTATGTTTCCACTATAATGATGTGTCTCTGTGAGGAAAGAATAGAGGAACTTTTAAATTTCTTTTAGATGGGGAGGAAAGACCTAAAACCAAAGATCTAACTCCAGAGCAGAGTCTGCCTATGGAAAAGTCATCCTCGGAGGCAGGAATGGAGGATCGGATGGGAGGAAACTTCTGCAGTGTCTCTGTAGGAGAGCCTTCTCCTGATGACCCATCAGATTCATGCCAGGTCAACCAGGAGAAACCTTTGAGTCCTGTAACAATGGGTGAGCCCAAGTCCCCCGCTCAAGAAAGAAGCCACGACAGTGATGATTCTGAGAGCAGCTCAGATCTTACCAAACAGTCAGAAGGCCCTCCAGGAAAGGATCCCCAGGAACGTGCTACTCCTGGAGTTTGCACCAGTTCCCAGCCAGTGGATGATGAACCTTTCCTCCAAGAGAACAGATGTGGATTTTGTGAAAGAACTTTTCTTACCCAGACAGCTCGTGAGAGACATGAGCAGATCCATACTGGGAAGAAACCGTTTGAATGTAAACAATGTGGAGAAGCCTTCTACCTCATGCCACACCTCACCAGACATCAGAGGACTCATTCCAGTGAGAAGTCCTTTGGATGCGATGAAGGTAGAAAGCCCTTCATCCAGCATGCAGATATCTGTGGCCGTGTAAGAATTCATAGCCAGGAAGACTACTATGAATGTTTCCAGTGTGGCAGAGCCTTTATCCAGGATGTGCATCTTTTTCAACATCTCAAAGCCCACGAGGCAGCAAAAGCCCTTCCACCTGTGTTGCCCCGCATTAAGACGTACTTAATTCGCTATCAGAGAAAACATGACTATGTTGGAGAGAGAGCCTGCCAGTGTTGTGACTGTGGCAAAGCCTTCAGTCGGAGTTCACACCTCATGCAACACTATCGAATTCATGCTCAAGAGAGGCCTTACCAGTGTCAGCTGTGCGGGAAGTGTTTCAGCCGACCTTCATACCTCACTCAACATTATCAACTGCATTCTCAAATGAAACCTGATGAGTGCAGTTATTACTGAAAACCTCCAGTCAGAGAACATTCTCGACATCTTTGGCTCCATCGTGGAGAGAGTCCCTCTGAGTCCTGTGAATGTGAGAAGACCTTCCACCAGCCCTCACAACTTAGTAACTTGAAAACTCATCATGATGTGATAAAGAGAAATGACGAATGGTTGCAAGGGTATATAGCACAATCTTTTTGCAAAAGAAGATTCAGCACATGTGTCAGTAGTCAAAATCCTTATAAAGAACATTTTTGTTGCATAGGAAAGAAGTTAATAGATTTTGCCTTTCTTTGGTGGTATTCATGGAATGGGAAACTTTCATCTTGACCACCCCGACAAAACATTTGTGACTGGCAGTTGGACTCCAGACAGACAATCTGTTCTTAAGTTTTTCTAGAAGTGTTTACATATAGTATCTTCACCATGTGGGATGTGTCAACACAGAGCACGCTAGAAAGATTTTCAAGGTGTCCTGATACCGATTCATCTGCAAAGCCTGTTGTAATTGGTAATGTATTCACATCGTACCACATCATTTACAAAACATTGTTATGTATATTATTTTATTTGATGTTTTAAGGAATGCTGTGAAGTATCTAGTGAGCATATTCAATTTTTCCAGGCAAACAAACTTGAAACTCCTAAATTGCCCGTTGATCTGACCTAGGTTGTAAGTGATGAAGTAGGAACTGAACCCAAGTTTTGTTCTATTCTGAGATTTCATGAGATATTTATTTTACATCTTGATATTCAACCCTGGTTTTCTTTATTCCTACCACTTGCTCTTTGAATAAACGGTGCAGTGCTCTACTGCCTTCAGCACCTTCCTCCGCAGGAGGCCCAGCACCGTTTCACGGGAAATCAGACCAGGAGACCTACAATATTAGAGGTTCAGAAAGCTTTCTTAGGGTGAGGTATGAGAGCCACTTCTCTCGAGATTTAAGATTGGTGGATGACTTTTGGAGACTAATTCAGGGAAGTGTATTTTTGCTCAACACTTTTTTGTAAGTCTTCTTGTACATTGTGAAATGGTTACTGATCAAGGAGAATTTTTTGGTAGTTTTCTCTGGTGGTTTGAAGGATTGGGGTTTCTTGCCTCCTTTTTCCTTCCTTTAAAAAAAAATCCTGTTTGAGAACTTTCTTGGGCTGTGGCATCATTAACGCAGCCAACTTCACCTAAAATCCTAATTCTATGCAGAATACACTTCACTGTTTAAATGTATGAGCCTGAATTGTATAGAAATCTCTTGAATACCATATTGCTATAATGTTAAAAACTCTCCATCACTGGCTTGACTGGTGGCCAAATGCAGAGACACATGGACCAGGAGCCCCAATACCTGATTCCTTGCCTGGTAGGGTGAGTCTTACTGCTGTTATCCACTGCCCTGCTTTTTCTCATCAGCCCTTTTTGAGGCGGATCTATCATGCGTGGCCCAGAGTCATGAAATTAAAAGTAAACATGACTGGTCAGAACCTGATGAGCCAAACAGGTGTTAGCCACACAACCTCTCTTCACTTCCAAAGTTCTAGATGAAATAGCCCTCATTGGCAGGTCCTCTTTTCCCACAGCAGTCTACTCTTCAGCCCACTGTAGGTTGGTTTCTGAGCCTGCCACCACTCCCACAGAGGAGCAGGATGTCTGTGCATCTTACTGATGGTGATGTTGATTGGTCTTGATGTCTTGACCTAAAGTGCTGTCTGGGGGGTTGTTCTTTAAAGTTACTATTTATTTCTTCTTGTAATTACTAAATATCTTACAGGAGAGATTTTAAAATTTGCAAGTACAGATCTTTCTTGCCTTACGATGAGGCTTTATCCTAATAAACCTGTTGTAAATTGAAAATCTCGTAAGCTGAAAGTGCATTTAATATGCCTCAGCTACTGAACATCATAGCTTAGCATCTTCTACCTTAAAAGTGCTCAGAATACTTATACTTGCCTACAGCTGGGCAAAGTTATCTAACACAAAGCCTGTTGTATAATGGTATTGAATATCTCATGTAATTTATCAAATACTGTCTGAAAGTGGAAAACAGAATGACCGCATGGGTACAGAAGGGTTCTAAGTGTGTTGGTTGTTAATCCTTTGATTGCAAGCCTGGCAGGGAGCTGGGGCTCACTGCCACTCGCTGCCTCTGCCCAGCATCGTGAGGGAGTATTGTACCGTGTGTCATTAGCTGGGGGAAAAGATAAAAATTCAAAATTTGAAGTATAGTTTCTGCTGAATGCTTGTTGCTTTTGTAAAGTCATTGTAAAGTCAAAATATCATAAGTTGAACCATCATAAGTTGGGGGCCCTCTGAATCCAGCTTCTCCTCAAACTTTCACCCATTAAATTTTAGCATCTTGCAGGTGGATCTTGCCTACAGCCATTGTGACTCTGTGGTATTGGCGAATTTCTATTTCCCTCATTCTTTCTATATTTAGTAATTACATTTCTCCTGTAAGTTAATGTCCCTATTTATTTATTCAGTAATTTATTTATATCAGTATGAATTCATGGATATTTATTTTTTCTATGGGCTGTAATTAAATACTATTTATTTTATTGTTCATATTCTTCCAGCTTTGGCCATTGGGAACCCTTTCAGGTTGGCTCCTGGGACTTTTCAACAAGATGCCATCCTTTTCTGAATGCTTCTAACTTGCTACACCCTCCTTAAGTCCTCTCCCTTCCCCTCCAGGAATACCCTGTATGACTTTCTGATGGATTCTACCTCCCATTTTGTGAAATCTGCTTCTTTCCAGACCATCCATTTACTTAGGCCCCTGTCAATCTCAGTCATTTCATTAATGCCTTTGCCATTTTTGCTAAATTTACATTCTACCCAGATTGTGATTCACTTACTACATTTTTGAAAATGTCTTCTCTCTGTTTTTTAAACTTTAATACATGTACTTTATTTATTTTTTTAAAGATTTTATTTATTTATTGAGAGAGAGAGAGCACAAGCCAGGGGGAGAGGCAAAGAAAGGCAGAAGCAGGCTCTCTGCCAAGCAAGGAGCCTGACGTGGGGCTCCATCCCAGGACCTCAGGCTCATGACCTGAACCGAAAGCAGATGCTTAACTGACTGAGCCACCCAAATACTCCTTAATACATCTACTTTAGAAGGAAAGTTTCAAATCACTTCAAAGGGTTTTACCCAGGCCATAATCAGATTCCCTGATTGCCGCTAAGATGTCTTTTTACAGTTAGCTCATTTGAATCCAGATTCAAACATGATCTACAAATTGTATTTGGTTGTCTTGTCTCTTGAGTCTTAATCTAAAGCAGTCTCCTCTTAATTTTTTAAGGCTTTGTGTGACCCCAAGGATAATGTGGGATGTACCTCCCTCCTTTCCCCACCCAATTCCCAATATATCTAACAGTTTGGGTAATCTTATATTCTGGTTTAATTTTTAATTTGAAAGCACTTACTTTTAAAACTCCTTATTTACATCGTGGTAAAAAGTCCCATATAACATAATATTTGCCATCTCAAACATTTTTAAGTTTTCAGCTCAGTGGTATTAATTATAGTCACATTATTGTTCAGCAGATCCCAGGACTTTATCATCTCGCAAAACTAAAACTCTATACCCATTAAGCAGTAACTCCACATTCTCCCTTTCCTCAGCCCTGTGACCATAATTCTAGCACCCTTTTTTCTGTTAAGATTTTGTGTGATTATGCAAATAATACTGGAAGAAACAGTGCCGGTTGTCCTGTGGGATGTCCCCATTCTAAATCTGTCCGCTTCCTGTGGTGTCCTTAAGCTTATTCCTCTCTGTATTTTCTGTAAATGGAAGTTAGTATATCAGAGACTTGGATTCATCTTCAACTTCCTTGGCAAGAATACTTTTTAGGTAGTTTTGTGTGCTTCACCAGCATGATCTGGAGTTGGCTTTTCCTAGGGGTCCAGCCTTTTAAAGTCATTCTCCAAGTCACTGCATCAGTCAGAGGCAATGAGGTTTCAAAGTGTTTGCCATCTCTGGGTTATACATAGGCCGGCTGCTTTAGTTCTTTCTGCATTACCTCTTCCGGATTCCTCTGTATTCCTCCATCACTCCAGATTGGTCTTCAGACACTTGAATTAAGAGGTGGTGGGAACTCCTTGAGGAGCCTGGCTTTGGGCCATTTGTTGAGAATTCTGGGCCAGGGCTTCCGACTGCTTGAGGAGTCTTAACTAGAGAAAGTCAAGGAGCATGACTTGACCAGTTTTGTTCTCATGCTTCTTTTATGCTAAAACTGGAATCGGCGACTGTATGGGATAGTTGACTCTGCCTGTCACCCCTGAACTATTTGAACATACGGAAGACGTACAAACCACTGCCTCTGTATTTTACACACTTGACCTGCTAAGACGCTACATACCTCAGCCTGTTATTTTGGCTTTAAGCTTGCTGCTCTCCTGTGGGCTCCCAAGGATAATGCTTTGCTGCTTCCCTTCTTTTCCCACCCAGTTCCTAACCTCTGACAGGGCACTGCTATTTCATTCAAGCTAATTTTTTTTTAAATTTAGAAATACTCACATTTTAAACATTTTTTGTGATTATGCAAGTAACATTTATTCTTTGAAGATTAGAAAATGACGTGTTTTTCTTTGACTATTTGTATTTCCATCTCCCAGATACACTTGCTGCTAAAATTGTCCAGATATTTTTCCTATGCATAGATCTATATAGATTTGTATATAAAAATATTTTTATGAAATAGAATTTTACCATTGGCACTATTTTGAAGGGTGTAATTTTATTCTAATATATCATGAATATCTTTCCATATCCATATTTATGCCACTAACTTTTGTTTTACAGGACTGCCTAGTACTTGATTACATAGATGTGTCCTGATTTATTTTCTAGCACTAGCTTTCTAAAGTTGTAAACTGACATTGGATTTAATTTATCTTTTATGTGTACATTACTGCTATCATTACACTTCCCTGTTACCTCTTAGGCCTTAGCATTCCCTTATCAATGCACTCTAACATCTTTGCATATGGCCATGTTTCCTAAGAGGAAATTCCCAG